AAGAATTACTGTACAAAAAGAATTAATCAATGTTCATCTATTTCAGGAAGTGGCATATGATCACGAACCAACAATATCTAAGAAAGAAGTTGAAGCTGCGCTGATGGAATTGACTAAAAACAAAGCTCCAGGAATTGACAGGATACCCACAGAGATGTTTCAACAAATGGATCCCACACTAGAGGCAATTACTTACTTATCTATGCTAAGTAATTTGGAAGACAGCTCCCTGGCCAAATGATTGGAAGAGATCCAAATGTGTACTCATTCCAACGAAAGATGATCCAACTGAATTTGGAAACTATCGAACAATATCATTAACATCACATGCAAGTAAAATTTTGCTGAAGATAATTATAGAATGATTGCAGCAGTAGATTGACAGGGAACTTCCAACAAATGTAAGCTAGATTCAGAAGAGTATGTGGAATGAGGGATATCATTGCTGATGTCAGATGGATCTTGGCCGAAAGCAGAGTACCAGAAAGATGTTTACTTATATTTTATTGACTATCCAAATGTATTTGACTGTGTGGATGATGAATTATGGATTGTATTGAGAACAAATGGAATTCAAGAACACTTAATTGTGCTCATGAGGAATCTGTACATAGACCAGGAGTCTATCGTTCAAATAGAATAAGGACATACTGATGGTTTAAAATCTAGAAGGGTGTGTGTCAGGGTTGTATCCTTTCACCATACTTATTCAATCTATATGCTGAGCAAATAATTGAGAAGCTGGACTATATGAAGAAGAATGTGGCATCAGGATTGGAGGAAGATTCATTAACAATCTGTGATATACAAATGACACAACCTTGATTGCTGAAAGTGAAGATGACTTGAAACATTTGCTGATGAAGATTAAAGACTTCAATCTGCAGTATGGATTATGTATGCCTCAACATAAAGAAAATGAAAATCTTCACAACTGGACCAATAAATCTCATGATAAATGGAGAAAAGATTGAAATTGTCAAAGATTTCATATTACTCAGATCCACAATCAACACCAAGGGAAACAGTAGTCAAGAAATCAGATGTCATATTGTATTGCTCAAATCTGCTGCAAAAGACCTCTTTAAAATGCTGAAGAGCGAAGACATCTCTTTGAAGACTAAGGTGCATCTAACTTAAGCCATGATATTTTCAATCACCTCATGTGCATGTGAGAGCTAGACAATGAATAAGGAAGGTCAAAGAAGAGTTGATGCTTTTAAGTTGTCATGTTGGAGAAGAATACTGAAAGTACCATGGACTGCTAAAAGAACGAAAAAAAATCTGTCCTGGGAAAAGTGCAGCCAGAATACTCCTTGGAAGTGAAAATAGCCAGACTTTGTCTCACCAACTTTGTTCATGTCGTCAGATGGGACCATTCCCTGGAGCAGGATATCACACTTGGTAAAGTGAAGGGTCAATGAAAAAAGGGGAAGATTCTCAATGAGACGGATTAACACAGTGGCTACAACGATGGGCTCAGGTGTAGCAAAGATTGTAAGAATGATGTATGACCAGGCAGTGTATTGTTCTGAGTACATAGGGTTGCTATGAGTCAGAGCTGATTTGACAGCACCTAACAACAACAACAGCAACAGCAACAGATGTGGTAATGCATGGAAAACAGACTGAATGGGCACATCTTATTCTCATATCAGTAGTTATCTTTGGAAATGGATTGCAATTGAGATTAGGGAAAATGGTTGGAGGGGAATTTAGCCTTAGCCATAAGGTTTCAATTTTTAAATAAGAAACCAAACCAAAACCAAACTCACTGCCATTGAGTTGATTTGACTCATAATGACCCCATTGGGTTCCCGAGGCAGTAAATCTTTGTGGAAGTAGATTGCCCCATCTTACTTCTGTGTAGTGGCTGTGTAGTGGGTTTGAACTCCCAACCTTCTGGTTAGCAGTCAAATGCCTTAGGCACTGTATCACCAGAGCTCCTCCACATATCAAATTAAATAAAACAAAACAAAACTTTTCTATGGCATCCCACTGAATATAATATTTTACTTCACATCTGCCTCCAACTATGTTTTGAATTTTATTTGTCTACCCTGCACTTCCATATACCTAGGTTATAGGCCATACTAGAATATCCCACACTCTTCAGCCTCCAAACCTCTACCTAGGCTGTATCCTCTGCTTGGAATGCCTTTTCCCTTTTTTAAGTCTAGGTTGCTTGTACTTCGTGCTTCAGAGTCCAATTCAAATGTCCTCCATTTTATAAATGCCTTACTTAGAAGACTTTCCTGAGGCACTCCTTTAGTTTCTTAGTGCTGGTATAACAGAAATACCACAAGTGGGTGGCTTTAACAAGCAAAAATTAGTTTTTCACAGTTTAAGAGGGTACAAATCCAAATTCAAGGTACCATTTCTAGGAGAAGGCTTTCTCTCTCTGTGTGTCACTTCTGAGGGGAGGTCCTTGTCTCCTTTCAACTTCACCTATTCAATTCTTTGGTGATCTTCATGTCACATGGCATCTATTTTCCCTTATCTGTGCTTCTCAAGTACAGATAAAGGTAGACTTTCCCTTGCCAAATGTGAAAGTCATGGGTATCAAGCAAGTCCCAAGACCAACAGAACATAATTAATTCTCAAGCCTTAAAAATAATGATCTGTTCTCTGGGACCATCTGGGCAATGGCCCTGCCCTCCAGACTCTGGATGTTGGCTGTGCTCTCCAGATTCTGGGTGGAGGGACCTCAGCTGACATCAGCCCTTCATTCCAGATGCACTGTTACAGCAACTCTGCTCCCTGGGCTTTGGACAGGCCCATTCTCCTGGTCACCACCTCAGCTCCTGGTGGCACTGTTCTCTTGGCCTGTGGATATGGTAGCCCCACCCCTTCAACTTTGGGCAAAGGCCCCATTCTCCTGGGCCTTGGGCATGACAGCCCTGACCCCTCAGCTTTGGGTGAAGCTTCTTGGCCCACCTGAAAAGCAGCCCCACACTCTGGAGACAAGATGGTGGAGATCTGACTATTTGAAATCTTGTTGTGGTAGTTAGGTACTGTTGAGTCAGCTTTAACTCATAGTGACCTTATGTACAACAGAAAGAAACAAAAAGCAGTCCAAGGAAGCACTTTTTCCACTTTTTGAAATATGGGTAGTGACTCCATCCTTTGAAATGAAGGCAGCCTTCCTTGCCATGGTCCTCCAACAGTTCAGCTGATCTCCAAGTTGTTCCTGGGATGGTGCCTTCCTTTTCTTGGAAGACAACAGATGCTTGCAATGAAGACACTCCACTGGCCCGTTTTCTGCCTGTAGAATTCCTGTAGAATTCCCGGAGCAGGCAGCTTTTCTTCAGTTTGTACTGCCTCTGTTCTTTTCTGCTGTGGTGATTGAATAGAGACTCAGTCATAGGCTGAGTCTTTTGAACAAAAGATTGAGTTATCATGTCTTTGGTGAGATTTGTAGGACATGTCCTTAGTTTGTATAACAGAATTTTCCTAATCTTTATATTCTGGTTTTATTCTTCACAATTCATTTCTGAATCCATCTCTTACCTCCCACATCTACTATATGCAGCAAGGAGAAACCATGCTGCCCCTTTAAGAGATGTCTTAGAAACCTCCTTACCCAAATTTCCAAGTTCTATTTCCCACCAAACATAATTCAGACAAATTCTTTGCCACTGCATTAAAAAAAAAAAAAAAAATCACCTTCTCTCCCGTATCTATCTAATCACATGTTCTTCATTTTCTTTTAAATCCTCTTCAGAAGCACTATTAGTGTCCAAATTTCTAGCAACATTCTCCCACCAAACATAATTCAGACAAATTCTTTGCCACTGCTAAAAAAAAAAAAAAAAATCACCTTCTCTCCCGTATCTATCTAATCACATGTTCTTCATTTTCTTTTAAATCCTCTTCAGAAGCACTATTAGTGTCCAAATTTCTAGCAACATTCTCTTCATGGCAAAACAAGCTTTCATTATAGTTCTTAATTCTTTCTGAGGCCTCAAGATTTCTTTAATTTCCATAATTCTAGCAACAGTCTCTTCAAGGCAAACTAGGGCTTTTTTATGAAATCCTCTAGCCTCTACCCATTACTCAATTCCAAAATCACTTCCACATTTTTAGGTATTTGTTAGAGTTGCACCACCCTGATGGTACCAAATTCTATTTTAGTTACTTAGTACTGATATAACAGAAATACCACAAGCGGTGGCTTTAACAAACAGAAATTCATTTTCTCATAGTTTAGAAGGCTGGAAGTCTGAATTAAGAGCACTGGCTCTAGGGGAAGACTTTCTTTTTCTCTTGGCCATCGCTCTTCTTGTCTGACCTCTAGGTCTTGGGACTGCAGAAGTCTCAAACTTGCCATCTGACATATAGGTTTCAGATTTTTCAGCCCCTACAATTCCATGAGCCAGCAGAAGTCCCAGCCTGCTGCCTAATCTATAGATTTGGGACTTGACAGCCCTACAATTGAGTATATTTCCTTGAAGTCAAAGTATCTATTGATCTATCTATCTACATGCACAGACATACACACACACACATGTCTCACTGGTTTGCTTCTCTAGATAACTCAATTAAGACAAGCACATATTCTTTTGATGTCTTGTTAATATTTATACTCCCAGTGACTGGTTAATGCCTGGAGCCAAGTAAATGCTCAATGAATGTTTCTAAACGGATGAATGATGGGGGAACATTTTCTGGTAGATTGTTTTCCCATCGAGTGTGTCTCAAAGTTCCCACATTTCATTTTGGGTGTATTTATAGGTTCAGTAAAAATCAGGGCTATAACCAGACTAAAACTGAGATCCTAGCCTTTAACTATCCTTTCAGTGCAAAGGGGATAACTATATTTCTGGACCAGCCAAGCCCCATTTGTTTTCAGTTCTAGTGAAATCAACTGAAAATGTCTTGCAATTTATTTTATTCAAATTCTGTTCCCATAAAAGCCTTCAATTACTTAACCCACAATAGGTCCAAATCAGCAATCCCTCTTGATCTCAACTGGGAGCCTCTATGAGCCCAGGCCTTACCTTTTCATCAGCTTGGGGGAGCATTCTCTCTCCAGATTGGAGGATGTATGTTTCACATGCATTGCATTATAGGAAGTATGAGTATAGTCATTTTCATCACTGTAGTCAGGGCCGAGCAATGTCCGAGCCCATGTCCCCATGTCATAAGGAGGAAGGGTTCCTCCAAATTCAGAGGGCAAAAATTCAGGGTGTATTAGCTGATGAAGGCTGTTTAAATTGTTTCCATGCAGGAAAATCTGGAAAGAAAGGAAAATTAGCTATAAAAAATCTGAACATATGACCCAGCATTTAATCTAATATATAGTTTAGCAATGACAAATTGGATGCACTACTGGTGATCATGGTGTTTAAAGAGGCATTCATTTCTGTGTCTGTGACTGTCTTTTTAAAATACTAATTTATTACTTGAAAATAGGCTGAATTAATAGTCCTTACAAATGAAGTTTACGAACAAACTGGGCATTATTTGGCCATAGCCCAAATTTATACATATAGTCATCTCCTAATTATTTCTGCTAATGAAAGGAGTAGTGATGCAGATCACCCAAAACACCAATCATGCTTGTCACACAGATCTCAGCCAGCCTCTCTTATCCCATCTGCAGAGCTTTCCTGCCCTCTGTGCCTCCCAGATCCTCACCATCCTTCTCAGAGCAAATCACAGCTTCTTCCTCAATCTTCCCCAGTGACCTGTGCCCCTACCCCTGCCTCCTGACAATTAACGCTTCATTATCTGCTGACTTCTGCTGTTTTTTTTTTTTTCTGGATTATTCCTTTATGTCTTTCTTCACAAACAGAAGAATTCTCCTGACAAAGGATGCTGCTTCTCAGCTCCCAGGGTGGTATGGGCGCAATAAAGGGGCTTAATTAGTTCTTAGTCAATGGAATTGAAAATTTTTAATTCAAAAATTGAAACTTTGCTGCAATTCTCCATTTTTGGCTAGATTGGGGACTAATGTTTGCATCTTCTTAGTATATAATGGATGATGATGAAAATTGGTCAAGCAAGGGAAGATGTACCTCCAAATGCAGTTGTTTTCATACAAACCCACAAAGCAGATAAGCCACAATGGAGGAACTGAGTCTTGAAAATTTATTTAAAATAGTCTCTGTAATGAAATTTTTGGCACACTTCTTTAGTTCCAGGGTCAATATGCATAAGTTATATCCATATATAGGATGACCGTGAACTATACATACATGCACATACCCTACCATCCTTACTCCCACATCACAGTTAATGGTGATGAAATATAAAGGTGATTTTAAAGTATATAAATACGGGATTTCAGTAATAAACCCTTGCTACCTTGTTCCATGGTACTGGATTAACTGTCATCTTTTAAATGTAAAAGGAACAAAAAAACTAAGTGGTAAATTTTTTAGAAGAATATTGTAGTACTTCAGGAAAAATGTTCATTTTTTAACATTGAAATTGTGTACAATTGAATTTGAATAAGACTAATTTGTTTTGAAGAAATTCACTTGTTCAGGCTTTGCCAAAACTCCTTAAAGGAGAGACTGTAACATTTGAAGCAGGGAAAAACTGAAACTAAATATTAACCCTGATGTTTACAGCAAATATTCAGGCCTGTTGACCCAACAGTTAGGGTTCTGAAAGTTTGGGAAGGGCTACAGAAGCTGGTTCTTGCTTTTGGGGGTCCCACTAGATGGTTTGAGGAATGCAGAAGTGGGAAGGCTGGTCTCCCACCTGTCAGATTCTGTTTCTGGTGCCCAGGGCACCAGAACCTCCCTTTTACAACAAAGCAGCAAGAGTCCATTGCTTTGTGGGAGGAATTCCCCTGGGTAATTTCCTGAGTAGTCCGTGAAGCCAGTGGGAAGCCTAGGCCATATTGGGAATACTCTTGGACACTTCTCTGCCTGTAGCACTGTCCTATCCCCATATGAATTGAGTTCTATTTCCTAATTCCATGTTCATTTGAGGACAATGGATCTCACCTCCCATACCCTAGTACGGCAGTCCCGGGGTGATGTAAATGGTTAAAGCATTCAGCTGCTAACCAAAAGATTGGATGTTGGTGTCCACCCACAGGCACCTTGGAAGAAAGGCCTGGTGACCTACTCCTGAAAGATCAGCCATTAAAAATCTTATGGATCACAGCTCTCCTCTGAAACATATGGGGTCACTATGAGTTGGAATCAACTTGATGGCAACTGTTAATTTGTTGTTGTTGTATTGGCTGTTATGTGCTGTAAAGTCTGACCTGACTCATAATGACCCCTCCTTGGGTTTCTGAGGCAGTATCACTACAGAAGTAGATTGGCCAACCTTCCTTCCGAGGAGTGGCTGGTAGGTTTGAACTGCCAGCCTTCTGGTTAGCAGTCAAGTGCACTATGCTACCAGCTCCCCTGTTAACTGGTACCCATATAATAATTTCCCCAAAGACTTGGAAGAACACGAAATCTAGAAATTAGGAGACCAGCAGTGTGTGTGTGTGTGTGTGTGTACGTGTGTGTGTGGTGGGGGCTATCCCTCACTTCATCAGTGCCCCCAAACACTCAGAACACTTCTCTAGTATCAGCCTCTGGGTAAAATGTTGGAAAGAAGTTCCTGGCCACCAGATTCCTTTTAGGAGTGGCACTCCTGACCCAGAAAGGAACTGAAATCAGAAAGCATTGAAGAGAAGGTAACTAAATAGTAAAGAGAAATAAAGGTTCCTGAGTCTCTAATATACAAGTGGTGTTATACTACATGCTTAATACACTGTTTCATTAAATAATTCTGGGATATGGGTGTTTTCCTATTTTATAAATGAGGAAACAAAGAATCAGAGTGGTTAAGGAATGTTTAGTTACTCAGCTAACCAGAATGCTATGAGAAAGTCCAGTTCCAGTGGAAGATACTGATTCCCAAATATCACCAGCTGATGTAATTGATATAAACAAGTCTTCTGTATCACAGGGGAGCTCTGGTGGCATAGTACCTAAGACATTTGACTGCTAACCAGAAGGCTGCGGGTTTAAACCCACCAGCCACTCCATGGAAGGAAGACTGGGCAATCTACTTCTGTAGAGATACTGCCTAGGAAACTCAAGGAGGAGTTGCAATGAGTCGGATTCGAGTCAACGACAATAAGTTTGGTGATTTTTTTGTTGTTGTTGTTCCGCATCAGAGTGTTATTATTTCCAATGAAGAAGGCTCTACCAGCCTGACAGGTGATGGCATTGGCAGCTATGACCCAGGAACATGGGAAGAAAGCCAAAGAAATTATAAACCTTCTTCATAGTGATAATACATTTGCAGGACAAAAACATTAGCTACTAAAATATTCCATAAACAGAATGCTGCTGGACCTAGTAGCTCCCACAAGCATTTCCAGTAAAATGAGCAGCTGGTATTTGCATGCATTCAAAGTTTCCTTTGGGTTGTTGTTGGAACTCTGAAAGTAATCCAGTTCTACTGAATTATTGATTAAATTCAGGCCATTTGCAAACTCCAGCTGAGACTCAAATGCTCAGTGGCTGCAGAAAAGCTGAAAAGTCACAGCAAAAATAAGAGAAAGAAGGTGCACCATATGATCACTGTACATTCTCTGGGATTTCCATAATACACTTGTTTGCATTACCCTTTTCCTTGTCTTGTCTTTAAGGAATGGTTTGATGAGTGTGTACAAGGCATGGATGTACCAAGGCTGGTTGACAAAATGGACTCCTCCAAAGCGGGCAGGAAAGCTGTCCTGGGATGGAAAAAGAAATGCAGACCAATTAGTGAGTGTTCCAGGTTAAACAGAAAGCAGCAGGACCACAACCCAAAGAATAACCTGTTTTGTTTCTCCTACTGATGCACCAGAGGGGCCCTGGTGATGAAGTGTTAAGCACTTGGCTACTAACCAAAAGGTCCGTAGTTCGAATTCACCAGCTTTTCTATGGAAGAAAGATGTGGTAGTCCGCTTCTGTAAAGGTTCCAGCCTTGGAAACCCTACTGGGCAGTTCTACTATGTTCTGTAAGGTCACTATGAGTTGGAACTGACTTAACATCAATATATTCGGGCATTAATGCACCAGCTAATAGTGGGGAAAGAAAGAAAACACACTTGTGTCCTTGCTGCTGTTGCTTCTGTTCCCTTGGCCTCCCTCCCTCTCCTTTTGAATCCATAACTTAAAATGTTTGCAAAGATGCCAGGACTGTCTTTCTGAAATCACATTTATATGATTCCCTACAAGGCACAGTGGTGGTGCGGCCAGGAAAGTGAAGGGGAGTCTGTCTGCATTCTAATTCCTCATTGTGTTAGGAAACTCAGGCTTCAATTCTCAGGGCCTCTAAGCACAGGATTTTCCTCTTAACCCTCATTCTCCACTCTTCATCCCTCTCCCATCAACATTATCATGACAATAGCCGAATTTTCTGGGTGATTGAGTGCTGTGTGGGAAGGATTGCAGAAGGATTACAAATGATTTTAAGAGACGGGAGCTCTGTAGAATTGGACCAAAGTTTAATGTTTGTTATCAACATTTTTACAGATTTCGGCACTAGCTCTGATTCCATCCTGAGGGTCCACAGTAGGTCTTAGGAAAAAGACACTTGTTGAATGATGGGTTAATTGGCCCCAATATTGAAGGAATATGGACATCTTTTTTTTTATTGCCAATCAACACATTTTGTAAATGACAGAAATAAGAGAATTTTTTCCATGGTTTCAATTTTGGAATCTAGACCAGGCCATAAACTCGTGTTTGAGAGGCTGTTCTTGGTGCTAATTAGATCCATAGAATAAAGGACTTGGCCACAAATTCTGACCTAGTCTCAGAGCACTGGGTCCTGAGATCCTGATGAATGGTTTAGCGAGTGAGCTTAATCTTGTCTAATGGAATTAGAAAGGAAAAGACATCTAAATGCTGTTTAAATTGCTAAGTTCACTGTCAATCAATTTTATTGCAACAAATATCTTCATAAAATGTTAGCAGGAAAAGATGAAAGCTCTGAATTCTGGCTGTGATATAACAGTGCAGGCAGCTGACTGTTCCCTGCAGGTATATGAAATGCCTTACTTGGGTCTTTTTAAGTAACAAGGAAATAAGATTATTAACTTTTTTCCTAGAACTCTTTGAGTCTACTGGGTCTCTGAGCATCTTGCAACGGAGAGCTACTTTCAAATATAAGTTCATGGAACTATGCTTCAAGGCTGACATTTGAAAAACTTAAAAATAGTTTATGTCTCTATCTAGATATTTTAAAGAGTAGAAATAAATATTTTGAAGGCTAAATGAGATAATTTCAGTAAAAGATCCTGGCTTTGGAGGGTACAGATTTTTAAATTATTTTGTTTTAAACAACTTAATGGAATCACCAAGTATAGGAGTGGAGAGATTCTTTATAATATTTTTGTATACTTGTCATAGGCTCTCACCATTCGAAATCTGATTTCAGAAATGCAAAAGTTCTTAATAAGCTATCTTTCTCTTTTTTATATACTATTTAGAATCTGGGAGCTAATGCATTTAACTGCTAACCAGAAGGCTGGTGGTTCAAACTCAGCAGCCATTCCTTGGAAGGAAGACTGGGCAATCTATTTCCATAGAGATACCACCTGGAAACCCAAGGAGAGGTCACTATGAGTCAGCTAAAAAAATTTTTTTAAAAGAAACTATATTCAAAAGTTTTTACTTCACACTAAGTGGTAGGATGAATAAATCTGTCTTGAAGAGGTACAGTTGGAATGCTCCTCAGAAGCAAGAATGACCAGACTTTGTCTCAGGGACTTTGGTCATGTTGTCAGAAAGGACCAGTCCCTGAAGAAGGACATATGTTGGTAAAATAGAAGGTTGTCAAGAAAGGGAAAGAACCCTCAACATAATGGGTTGACACAGTGGCTCCACAATGGGCTCCAGTATAACAAAGATTGTGAGGATGGCACAGGACTTGGCAGTGTTTCGTTCTGTTTGACATAGTGTCCCTGTGAATTGGAGCTGACGCAATGGCATCGAAGAACAACAACAAGTGGTAGGCAGTAACTTCACTTTTTGGGCAGCCATACACTGTTTATTCAGAAGTATAATCCATTATCTCATACACTAAACTTGGGTTCTGAGAGGATGTAGAAGAAGTATGAGAGCAAATTATTTATAAAACCATGGCATGCTATCTTTTTTAGTAGGGCTGTTATGTATTGAATTACATTACGCCCCCCCCCCCCACACACACAGACACACACTCCTCAAAATATGTGCTGCAACCCTAACTGCTACACCTGTAAATGTGATTTTGTTTAGAAATAAGAGTTTTCTCTTGTTATGTTACGAGGACATACCAGAGTAGGGTGGGTCCTTAACCTAATCAGTTCTGAGTATAAAAAGAGCAGAATAGACATTAAAGATAGGCACAGAGGAACTGACACCAAAAAATGCCAAGGACCAGGTGGGACTTCACTTAAGGAAGGACCTCCCTCTACAGCCATGCCCTGAATTCAAACATCTGGCCTCCTGAACTGTGAGAAAATCAATTCCTGTTCTTTAAAGTCATCCGCTTGTGTTATTTGTGTTATGGCAGCACTAGGTAACTATGACAAGGACCAACATTAGGATTTTTCATTTCTATTTTGATAGTCTATTGTGTTAGGAAATTCTAAATTGGTAGAGTGGAAGAAAGCTATAAATAATAGTCTAGAGGCAATAGGCAAAATTACAAAGAAAAAAAAATCAACCTTTTGAAAATATCCCAAGACTCTTAGTTTTAAACAACAGAATCTCAGTTATCAAACTGTCTTCTATTTGTATTAGGGATAATGGAAAGAAAGAAAGAAATATTGGGTTAACTGCCTGTAAATTCTCCCTAGGGTGGCCTGCTCACTTGAAGATGTGGGTTTTCTTTACTCTCATTCAAGTCAACCAGTGAATACATGCAGATAAACATAAGGAAACCCCGTGGGTTCTGGGTTTCATGGTAGAAACAGGATCACTTTTCTTCAGGTTCCTCCTATAAAATTCAAATGAAAGATCTTCCGGTCTAATAAAGACAATGTGTAAATGTTCTAGGTATTGTTCTTTATAATGGTATGTGTGTGTGTTTGTATGTGTGCTGTGCAGAGGGGGCAGGGAGTGACAGGGAAATTAGCAAACCCAACACTGTTGTTGATGTCCTTCATTGATGGTTACCGTTGCTGATTTACATCAGCAAACTGCAGATAAAAGGAAAAGTTGTCTGTCACACAAATGTCTCTCCAGGTTGCTTCCCAGCCTTACCATCAGCACGTACCTCTTTCTTCAATGACAGTATAACACTTTCTTTTTCAGAGTTTTTGTGGACTAAAGCATATGTGCCAAAACATTCTCTAGGTTCAAGACAATGAGTGTATTAATTTCTATACATTTAATACATCTTACCAAATACAACATGGTTTCAATTTATACCAAAGGAGGGGGAAACAGATGCCGTTGAGTTGGTTCTGACTCATGGTGACCCCATGTGTGCCAGAGTAGAACAGCGCTGTACGGTTTTCAATGGCTGTGACCTTTTGGAAGTAGTTTGCCAGGCCCTTCTTACAAGGTGCCTCTGGGTGGATTTGAACTGCCAACCCTTTGGTTAATAGCCAACCACTTAACCTTTTATGCCTCTTTTTCTTTCCTTCATTCCTTCCTAAGTGGGATCATGGATTTTAAACTGGACTTATTGATAGCTTGCAATTATGTCAGACTTCATGCTGGTGATACAGTATTGGCTAAAATGGATAAGGCATTTGGCTGCTAACCAGAGGTAACCAAATATAGTTTATAGAGTAGGGGGAAAACAAAAATTTGAAATTATTTAATGATTTGTGTAGTTTCTTTAGTTCATCCTAAGTAATCATCCATATTTCCTATTTCCTCAGTTCAGCACATATTTATAAATGGGTTATATTCTCTAACCTACCAAACAAACAAGCAAAAAAACCCAAACTCATTGCCATTGAGTCTATTCAACTCATAGCGACCCCTCCTTGGGTTTCCGAGGCAGTATCTCTACAGAAGTAGATTGCCCAATCTAACCTCCACTGGGCAGGAAATGCCATGAACCACAGACCTCTGTGATTTCAAACCCTTTCGCTGTTTTCACTACCCAAGTTCTACCCCTGCCTTAAGGTGCCGAGGTCAGGTTTGGGCTCATCGTCTTCACCTCTTTTATTTTTAATCATTCTTCTAATATTTTTCCTTTGAATAGTCATAAGATCAAAATGTGGGTGATAACTTCTTAGCCACAGTCAAATATCCTGAGGGAATGAGTCACTGAACTTGGTCCGGATCATGGTTGTGGGGGACTTCAAACTCAATTGGCATAACATACTACACAAAAACATTGTTCTACATCCTCCTTCAGTGAGTAGTGACTGAGGTCTTACAAGTTTGCAAATGGACATCTAAGATGCAGCAATTCGTTTCTCCTCCTCCAGCTCCACATTCAGAGTATTAGCTCCAAACCCCTCTTAAGCAAAATACTGGCTCCAGGATTGATCTGTAAATAATAACTCTATCATTCACTTCCAGGGCTTACTCTTTGCCCCCTGAGTATACAGAGGCAGGCTATTCTTATTTGTCTGCCATGTCTTCATAAACCAGACAAATATCAAGTGTTATTAAAATAAAGGCTCTGATATCTAGGAATGTGTAAGAAGACAGAATAAACTGATTTAAGGTGACTATTATATACTACGGGAGCTCTGGTAGCATAGTGGCTAAGGCAATTAACTGCTAACCAGAAGGCTGG